TGCTGTGTTACTTGGACTCTGGAAATCGGTTGATGCTCATCGTAGGACATTATCAAAAGTAAGCCATTTCTCGTTAATTAGAATCCGGCCGAGAATTAAAAGTTTACTTCATTCAAAAAAACGAAACAAAGTCAGCAAATTATAAAACTTTTTTCGTTTTTAGAATAAAATCAATCGTCCTCTTCTACATTAACGTGTGTGTAATTGTGTGGAAAGATTTTGAATTCTGTGCAGCCGGTAAGGAATATAACAGCAAGGAATCTTCGGTAAAACGGACGACTCCAGGATCCTTTTAAAGCAGGAGAATATATGTTCTTTGTTTGCAAAGTTTTACAATAATTTTTCCTATAAAGTTCTTTCCGTGTACTGACGCAAGATAAAGCAGTTTTGGTCACATTTTATTCCCAACTTTTAATATCATATCGTATCCCATGTGTAACAAAAACAACGAGCCCGAATTTCGATATTCGTGAGGCATATTTCCTCGCTCGATAAAGAGATAACGATGGGAAGATTTCAAGACGAAAGGAAGATAACTGCTTGCAAAATAGTATCGAATTTGAGACACAAGTTACGGCGGAAAAAAAGAAGAAAAAATGTAACCGGTAATTTGTTAATTGGACTGATTAACACGAGCGAGAGAGAACAAAGTCCACGTCGAGGCGGAGGTGTCGGAGGGGTTGAAACGGGAGAACGCGCAACGGAGAATATCAACGATAATATCCGAGCGTTCCCCCGTCACGGCTATAGAGACTTCATTTCGTTTTAGGGATTGTTCAGCCGAACAGCATAAATATTTATGCGCATACGCAAGCATTACGCGCTCGCTGGCGCATTAACGAGCACAATGCACTTATATCGTTTCATATATACATACCTACGCTCAGATGAGTGACGGCCGGCCGGCCGAGCGTAATGTTTTTCTCAGTTTACTTTACGGCTCTTCGGATACCATATATATATTCCGCCGTTTACTGCTGTTTACCGTCCCGTCGCTATTTTCGCCTCTCGCGCGAGAAGTAATGCGATAATATACATATAATAACAATGTCCGCGCGATGGACGGTTCTCGACAGTTGCCACTCGCTTGTCCGAACGTGAGGAATTTTGCGGAAATTCTTTTCCGTGCGCGCGAGTCAATATCGACCGTATTATCGAAAGGGCGGCCGACCTTATCGCTAGACCTTACGAGCCAGCTCGGCCCGGCCGGTATCCTCTCTCGCGCGCGCGACTTGCTTTATAATCTTTTAAATATTCAGTTCGTACGCTCGGTTTTACATTCACTATAGCGTGTCGGCCGCTACGCTAGACGGATTCTCGCGCGCGGTGCACGTGTGCCGAGCATGCGGAAACGCAAATCTCGCGAATCGCGGCTCGTGTGAGCCGCGAATGATCCCTCTCTCTCTCTCTCTATTTTTTCTTTCCGTTCGGACATGCTTTTGCGATGATTAATTTAGTCGAATTCACCGACGTCACTTCACTTCGTAATCACTTCAATCGCCGCGAGAGAGAGAGGAGACAGTGAGACTTAGAGAATTTTCCATGCGCGAATACATAAGCGTGCGAGCCGAAATTTTGGCTTTATATTAAACTTAATTTGACAATAGACACTAATGAACATTATAGTTATTTCGGCCTCAACCCTATTCTTGGTTTTAAAAATTATGGTAGCGATATGCGTGTAAGATTATTATAATTGACACTATATTCTGTTTTAATCTATTGCCCCTTTTATCTTCGGATTAGGTTCAATCAAAAATATGTTCAGATGAAGGTTGTCAAATTTTGAGAGGAACATGAGTTAATAACCGTAGCCTCGTTATATAGTTAACAATTCAAAGTTCATAGTCCACAGCTTCATTTTTTTCTTATGGAATCGTACAGTTTCTTTTTTCTTACACAAATCGATCTCTTCCTCTTTATTCTACGTATAAAAGTACGCAGAGCAAGATCATTGGAAAGTGGATACCTTTCGAGATACTTTCTTCTTGATTCTGATACTTTTCCGTACAAAAAATATGAAATATCTCGTAAAGTATTGATTTTTCGAAAACATCACTTCAACGATCTCGTTAAGATCGTGAAAGTATCGTAATTTCGACTCGGTAGCAGCATGCGAGAATACGCGAATTTTGTTCGCGTCGAGCGTCCGCTGGAGACTCGCTCGAGATTTCGCGAAAACGCGGCGCCGCAAACGTTGTTATTCGCATCCCTACTTGGTTTTTTTCGTAAGACAAAGTTCGACGTAACGAAGTATCCGACGTTAACGAAGCGTTAAAGCGAGGCAGGTGCATCGCATTAATGCAGAACCAGGAGGGATATGTAAGGTGTACAATGCATGAAAGTCCGCAATTATAATAACAATATGATAATAATAATATGATAATATTATAATTATAATAACAATATGATAATAATAATAATAATGATGAGACGATAGTATGTAAATATGTGATTTTTACGCGGGGAACACAACGGTGCCGCTCTCGCGCGTAGTTTATATTTAGACTCCGCGCTTAGAGTGAATTTATAGTCATTGCTATCGGGATCCTTTATGCACCGTCCCTTGGCGATATTGCGGTGCGTGCCCACACTCCTCTTACACTCTAGGCCAATGGTTCTCAAACTTTTTTCGCTCGCGGCGCATTGTCTGGCCACGCGGGGCGAGAGTCGCGCGGGGAGGGTTGCTTCGTATTAAAAACAGATTATTCCGTCGCGAATTATTCGCAAATCGTCTACACTCATGCTACGCACGCCCTCTCATTTTCGGGAGGATACTGAGGAATCGAGTTGAATGAAATCGAACGTTCGAAGGAACGAACGAAGAGGCGTCGAACGGTGAGGTCTTGGCTGTGTGATCTCTGGCGCAATCTCTCGTCCGAATCTATCGCGGCATTCCCTTTGAGAATCACTGGTTTAGGCAGTGCTAGAGAGTACGTAGCGTATGTCTATAATCTCGGCATTTTTTTCACGCGCGTGTGATGACACCCACGTGGTTTCGACGCGCGCGCGCGCGCGTGCTCGGCCGCGCGATTCGCATAAAGCCACCGCCAATCTATATGGCCGCAACCTTTCTCCTCTCGTGTGCTAATCAATCTGTTGCTTCCTACGCGTTTCGATTACGCAACCGCGGGGCATTGTGAACCCCCGTCGTACGAAAATGTAAAAAGCAAAATCGAGAATCCGCGCGTGTTGCATTCCGCGCGTGCACGATCCTCCGGCTCCCGCGAATGCCCGCTGCCGCGGTGTGTCTCGCAATATCTCATATTCCAATGACATTTGCGGATATCTGAGCGAGGCTCCGGGAGATCGACTGTCGAAACACGCACAATGGATCGCGCGCTTTGAATTACACGCGCGAAATGATTAGCGTGTACGCTCCGGGGCACGCCTGAGCGTGTGGCCTTCTCTCGTTCGGCGCGGCGAATTTTCATTTTCCCGGAACGTATAATTAAGTGTAAAAGTACATTTGACTGGCGCGCGAATAGTGAGAAGCGACCGCGAAATATTTTCGACGTGCGATTGTCAGCCAGTCCAATTATAATCGCCGTCGATATTCTTCTCGATATCCTGCCGTTTGAAATCTGCTGGAAGCGAAACCGGAACACCGTCTTTGACGAATTTTCTTCAATTCTTCCCAACGCCATTGTCCTCCAATTTTCATTTCCGCCACGTGGAACTTTTCGGCGCGATGGCGCGGAGATGCATGCCGCCTATGCACGGGCGGAACTGCGAGGCTGTGCTCGCGATGCCTCGAGGGAGGCACTCGTTCGCTCGCTCGCGCAGGGCACCTATTCCCGCCAAGTACATTCGTGTATTCAGCACACACGTACACCCACACACGGCAACTATACATATCTATATATATATATGCGTGTACATACATTATTATTCTAAAATATGTACACACCAAATATATTATTTATATATATGTATATATATATTATTACTACATAATATGCGAACGTAAAATACACGCATACATTCACACATGACGATCCCATGTATACATTCATACATCACTACTAAACAATATATATGTATGTACATTATATATATACTACTCTATTACTACATAATTCGTAAGGGATTTTAGTAATAAGTGAGTCCTAGATGCACACACAGTTTCAGTCGGACGCATCCAATCACGATGGCCTATGCCTAGGAACATTCAATCACGATCGATCTGTGATTGGATGTGTCCGATCGAAACTGCGTGCACCGGGGATCCTCCTTTCAATAATTACGTCACGTTCACATCAAAATTTGTGAATATTTTACCCCCTCTTCATCATACTTTGTCACAAAGTATGGTTCCCCTTCTAATATCACGTTACGTTTATTTTTAATATTACTTTGTGGAATTTCCCCTCTACTCGTCTCAACATTATATTATCAGATTTCTTTAGATCAATCACAAAAATAAACACTGTATGCTGAGGGCCTTACGTGACGTTTTATGGCCTTTATCCCCCCTCCCACCTGCCATCACACCGTCACGGAAGCTAATAGACTCTCCCTTCTCGCGTCGTGACGTAATTGTTGAATGATCCTTAATGTAAAACATGTGCATACATCTACATACGACAAACATGTAAATATGTACGCACATATACATCATTACTCTACTACATATATATGTATACACACACACACACACACAAATACTGCATATACTATTTTTACATAATACACAATATAAATATACGAATTACACTCGACGAATACGTGTATGTATATATCATTGCTTTGCAATATACATGTATATATCAAATGTATACTATATATATTTAGTACACACACACACACACACACAATCCTACTTCCTCGTACGGTCGACCGGCCGCAACACCGCCGCCGCCACTGGCCCGCGATGCTCGTGGTGGTTCGCCGCGTGCTGCGCCGCGCCGGTCGGGCCCCGAGTAGCAAGTCACCTCCGCTCACCTCGGCGCGGCGGAGCGTGCGCGCCCGACTTCAGTCTGTGCTCGGCTCGAGTCGTGCAGCACGGAACGCGCAGAAGGTGCGCAAGCAAGCGAGTAGGCGAGCAACCAGGCAGGCGGTTCTCGAGACGACACGACGCACGCACGCACGCACGCGCGCGCTCTTGCAAATCCGCGGTAAATTCGCGTACGTATATGAGCAAGCGAGAGAGAGAGAGAGAGAGAGAGACATGTGACTGATCTCGCGCACGCACGCACAAACGCGATGGCAAAACATCATCACGGTCTGACGATCGGGACAACGTGATCGAAGCGAGCGAGGATCGTGTGGCGACAAGAGAGATCGGCAGTGAGTGCTCCGAAGGATCGATCCTGCAAATCGAGCGGCGCAAGAACGGAACGCCGCGGTCGTGCCGCGGTATTATGTCACACTCCCACGCGAGCGACGGCGGCCGCCGTTTCTGCCGCCGTAGTTGCTGTTGTTGCTGCTCCTGCCGCCGCTGTTGCGAGACCCAACGTCTTCGTCGTTTGACATTTCCGTGCAGCGCCTGACGCACGGCTCCTTCGTCGGTTGATATTTACGCGCACTCTGCCAGAGAGAGAGAGAGAGAGACGATTTTCGTCGGTGACGATGCTGGTGGTGATATGAACTTTTGGTCATCGATCGACAATGTCTCCCGTTCACCCGGACGACAATCATCGATGAACGTCGGAGAGAGTCGCGCAGAAGGTCCAACGGAGTTGCCGCCACATCCGTTCCGGTGTTCTCGCGAGCCGTCGGCGCGATCGTTCCGGGATCGCCGTCGCGCATCATCGCCTAACAGGCCGTGGGTGGAGATCACGACAAGGTAACGTGTTCAGCGAGAAGGAAAAGTCATTTAGCGCGAGGATAAATTATGCGCGTCCACGGACGAGTGTGTGCCCGCGCGTTTTCCGCCGCGGCGTTTTTCCGGCGACTCGAAATCCGCTCCGACCGTTCAACGGCGTCGTCGTCGGCGGCGACGCGACGACGGCGGATCGATCGTGATGCCGGGATATGAAATCGGTAATGAGCTGTAAATCTCCGGCGCGTTCGTCGGACCGCGTGTGCGGGTGAGTCACACGCGTCACGGGTACGAATACCGACGATACACACGCGCGCTTTCTCTCTTTCGCGCGAGCGCGCGTGTACACGTATATGCATAATATACAAGTAGACAAGTACCTTTCCTGGCGTATTCTTTTCCCTTCGGTAGAAAATCGAAGGAAAGGATAATAAGCGAGAAATACACTCTCTTACCCGCCGGCCGGTTCCGTGGTTGGCCGCGTGCGCGTGGGCGTAAACGAGAGAGACAGAGAGAGAGTGAGAAGGGGGAGAGGGGGGAGACGGAGAAAGAGATACAGTCGGGCGGACCGAGAGAGAGAGAGAGAGAGAGAGAAAAGCACGGATCGAGCAGAGGCGATTTTCTGAAAAATTCACGGTGAAACTTTCGTTAACATCGGTTTAGACCGCTCATGTGCCGTTCATCGCCCGCGAGAGATAATCCCGTTTCGATCCCGGATCGATGCTCGAGGGTCCGATTTGAAAATCATCGATACCGCGGCGAAAGCCGCCGTTACCGGCGCGACTTTTGTCCGCGGACGATCGGGCGGGCTCTTAATTGAAAATATTGTCCGGGTAATCTGTGTTGGCTTGTTCGTTTCATTCGCATCCATCTTTGTGAGAACAACATCGACGACGCGCGAACGAGGCAGGAAAATCCGACATTCGCACACAACTACAGTGACTAATTGTTGCGGTTGGTCCGCCCGCTCGGCGGCGCGCCAAGTCGATGCTCCGACGAAGCGAAATCGTCCCCGCGAAGGAGGATCGCGCGAATGACTATCTGAAAATTCTCGCACGCGATCGATGCGCGGTGTCGCCTTACCGCAGCGAGTTGAGCGAAGTACAGTGTACAGTGACGGAGGAGATCGAGAAATGGGCCGGGGACAACGTCACGCTATTCTCGATTCTGTCGAATAATAATAGTTCTGGTCTCTGACGCATCGACAGGAATCCGACGATTAAATTCGTCAAGTGTTCCGGCACCCCTGCTCGTAAAATAACGCCGCGTGCATCATTAGTCTTGTTGGAAGGTCGACGTGAGAAGACAACATTCTCGTCGGTGTACGTCGATCCGCGCTTTCGTCGGATTTCAGCGTGTTTCGTTGCCGTCGTCGATGACGCGTCGCATCGCTTCTGCATCGGTCTCTGCGAGTTTTTCTTCGTAGAAATAATCTCAGTCGTTGCGATTTAACGGGAATTCTGGGATCATGGTGGAAATTCAACGACGAGAAATGATATTTCTATTACCGCGACTGAGAACACTCGTGTAAATATTCACGCTGTTAAAGCTCGATTGAGACAACTGAGAGAAATTGACTGAGTAAAAACTTCCTGCAGGAATCTTTCCGTTCTTACAACCGAGTTTTCGTCTGACCTCCAAACGACAGAAAAGTCAATCGTACTAACAAGATGTTTCTTTCTGTGTTCTCTCATAACCTCCGATGGTTTCTTTTTTATCGTACGCTAAAAATTTCGGTAAAACTTCAACTTCTTGCGGTCCTGTATCGAATTTACTTCGACATCGCATCTCGTTTCGATTCTATAAACCAACTTTTTGCTCGTGGTATAGGGAAAAAATTCAGTTCCTGCGTTTGAATACCGGATAAAAATTCGGTGACAAGAGGTGAAAACTCGAAGACAAGTAATGATATTTCTGTTACTGTGACTGAGAATATTCATGTGAACATTCAGTTATATTAAAACTCGGTTTAAACAACTGAGAGCAATTGACTGAATAGAAACTTCTTACAGGAATTTTTCTATTTTTGCAACCGAACTTTCGTTTGGCAATGGAAAATTCAGTTACACCAACGAAATCGTTGTTTACGTACGATATAATAAATATATTGTAGTAAATGTATCGTTGCATTGGTTAAATACTGAAGTGCAATTTACGCGAGGTTGGAAAAGGCTTTATGGAAACTTAGGATATCCAATAAGGATCTATTAGACGCTTCAAAACATTTTACATGGAAAAAATATTATTGTAACGATAGAATTTCTAACGTGCATCATGAGGATAAATCTTTTTGATTCAATAGCAATATCATTGAAAATAATACTTGAGTTATTGAAACGATATATGATGTATTGATTCAACATTTTCGTGCAATTACGTTATAACATTGATCCTTTGTACTTGAAAAATTTTTAAATTTCTTAGAGTGAAATCCCATTTAAAACGAATGAAAATTCGCTCAAAGCGATATCGAAAATACTGCTACTCAGAATCTATTTGTGCTTATAGTTTCCTAAGGTTTCTAGTCGCATGTCTCGTTTGAGAGCTTGGCGGATCGACTTCACTTCGATGAAAGTAGTGTTGATGAAGGGGCGGAGAAATAAATATTCGGTTTGTTATAATTCATTAATTTAAATTTATATAAGAAAAGACTTGTTTGAGACATCATATTTAATCAATCGTTATTGACGTCTCTAAATACAAATGTCATGCTAGTGTTTGTTGCTGAATCGCGAGTTATCTAAAATCGCAAGAACTTTGGATAATTTTGTGTATACAAACAGAAAATCGTTCGATTTGATGGCGATTAAATGCGTGTAGACATTACTTAACAGTCGATACGACAACACTTGTTACGCTATAATTGCAGACTTGATGTGAGATTTGTCAAAGCAAACGGTGACTCGAATTTTCCAAATCTCTTGCAGAATTAGAAAAATTAAGTAAAAATTTAAATTAGAGAAAGAAGTTTTTTTTAATTCATAGAATGAAAGTTTCGATCGATTAGAATAAATTTGTTTCTGTCAGACGGTGCACTGAGAGAAATCTCACTTATAGGTGATCAAACGAGAAATAGGAATCATCAAACATCAATAACATCTAATAATAATAAAAGGTGGGGGGGGGGGAGAATCTCTGTCGGCATTAGGCATCGTGTCATATTTAAACTGTCGATAAGTTCTCTTAATTTCACAAGTTTAATGACACTTTGCCTTTTGACGCATCCAAAAATATTCATCCGTTCAGCCATGAGACTTGTTCCAAGTTGACGCTTTCGAAGAAAAAAGTGAATTTATTACAAGAAAATTTCTGTTCGACGATTTTTTACAAAGTCGTTAACTCCGCTATAATGCGTCGAAGGTTCTCCTTTGGTTTTTGGTAGTGAAGCACTGTCCCAAAGGACTGTTTCTGAGTGGTACGCAAACTTTAAGCGCGGTCGAGTAGAGTATTCGCTGACGAATCCCGTGAGGGCTGTCTTGCTACGATGGTTACTCCAAAGAACCTCGATGCTGTTTGTGACTTACTGCAGGATCATTCGTTGCATAACTTACAGAGAAATGAAGGCGTCTCTAGGCATTGATACGACTCATATAAAACAAAAAATCCTACATGATTGTCTTGGCGTCGGAAGGCGCGTGTCAAACGGAGCAAAGAAATGCTGAAAAAATATGATCACGGTCGGTCCAGAGCAGTGTGTGACATCGCAACAAGTGGTGAATGATGGATTTACTGCTACAAGTCGGAAAGCAAGCGGCACTCGAGTGGGTGTTCCCGGGCGTCCAGCATCCGACAAAAGCGCAGCCGAAGTGTTGGCGAAGAAAATGATTGCGTCGTTCTTCAGGAAAACCGGTCCTGTCGTGTCTGTCGCGTTTGAAAATCGTCGTACGGTTGATGCCGAGTGCTACGCAACAATTCGCCTGCGGACTGCGTTTGGGGAGATTCGTGAAAATCGGCCAAGATCGTGCATCATCTTGTACCATCGGACACCCACCAACGCATCACGTCGCACAAGTACAACGTAAAGAGGACAACTGAGGTTTTTCTTTACCAGTGCCTGTGTACAATTGATGACTCATCTGTCTTACAGCCCCGACCTGGCACCTTGTGACTTCTTCCTATTTCCATACATCAAGGATAAAACGCGTGGTTCAAAGTTAGAACATGGCAGATGCGACGACGGTGGAGGCGAGCTCGAAAATCTGATTTCTCTGAGTTACCGCCGGAAAGATGGACAGGACAGTTCGACGATTGGTTACATCGAATGGAAAAGTATATTGATTGTAACGGAGAATGTATTTCAAGAAACAACAAAATCAATCTCAGAAATTAATTATATGGTGTTTTCGTGTAATTTTGCGGAAACTTTCGGAAAACAATTCTCCTACTTTGCCGATTTATCGAGAGAGGTATCCCCCCCCCCCCCCCCNCCCCCGCGCGCTGCGGATAATCTCTCGGGCGGTTAATCGTGTGCTCATTACGAGCCGCGCGTGTATCTCTGACGAACGACGACCACGACGACGACAACGGTGAGCGGCGTATTATACGCTCTTCTCGCTTGCTAACTCCACTGCAATCCGGAGATGCGTATCGCGCGCGAGGGAAATACGCGGGGAAAACGCGCGAGGGACGCACGGGGGGAGGGGGATGAAAACAAGCGATGCGGAAACTAATAATTTAGCGATTTTTCACGCAGCGTCGTTACGTGGGCCCCGCCGTGCATTCCTCTTGATTTTTTTTGTGCGCCGGTGCATCGGCATTCTCGCGCGTGTCGCGCGACATGCGGAGCCGCGATGCACCGACGGACATCACACGTCGGTATCGATCTGGCATTATGATTATTATTGCGTTATGCGTCTTGTCGGATACGTGTGTATATATATACACGCTCGTGTGTGTTGCGCGTGGCGTGTGCAGATTGAGACCTCCGTTAGCGACATGTATGCCGCGTACGTCGCGTACGTAGCGTCGCGGGACTTTATGAGTCCGTCGTGCGTTCGCAACCCGTGCGCTCACCGAGGATCGCCGAGCGGTCCGCTCGCACTTTGTCAGTTGTACTTCAACCAGGGACTCCCCGAGTACTCGGATCTTCGACTATCAGGTGCACACTTTTATCAACATATTTCTGTTATTGCACCTGGAAAGATTCACGGTTCTCTTGTATGATATTTTATTGCGCCTTTGTTTCTCGACAAAATTAATTTGTTTATAAATTACGGCAACTTTTTCTTTACGCCTGGAAAAGTGTCCTCTCTCTCTCTCTCTCTCTTTCTCTCCTGTAAAGGATACACGGCTCTCACGTGCGATTATTTTGTCACATGTATACACTTGATTATTTTATTTTTTTTTTCAACTTTCTCAACATTTCTAACTCGCAAATTTGTCATGCTGCTAAAACAACATCCTTTACCCGAATAATCCCGGATGCCCGGGATAGTATCAGATCCGAATATCGAAGGCCTAGTTTCAACTTACTCCGGCGTTATCGTCGGCTTTTGCTTCGCATGTCATGTCGCGCGCACCACGTTGGCGTCAGTTCGAAAACAGCCGTGCGACTCTCGTTATCACACGCGACTTGCGCAAAGTGGCCGTCGAAACTGCCGTGACGTTACTTGTGCATGTATGCACGTCTTCTCCGATTCCATATCCGTGTATTTTCGATCGACGGCGCGCGCGCGCGCCGATAAAAACCGAAAGTCACGGATCCTTCATTCGGCAGATAATCACTCGCCGGAAAGTGTCCGATTACGCTTATCGCGGGTATACGGTAACCGGATAATCAACGGCACGATACGTGAACGTAATGAGCCACGGGGCTATCCGGTTTCGTAGGTTTCGACGTCGGGACTTCTCGGTACGTAAGATCCCGCGCTTAATTGCGCGCGCCTCCGCGCGAGGAGGCGGGGAACGGATTAAAAAAAGCGGGCGTTTTACCCTGTGTAAATCGCCTGTATACCCGGGTGTGTGCGCGCGCGCGTAAATAACCTCGCTCAGTAATTTACGGGCGATTGGGTTGCTTTACGATATCGCTGGTTAGCGACGCTGATTGACGCCCGATCGCTCGAACATCGGATATACGCGCGGTAATCGCCAGTCGACGATTAATCCCTCCATCCCGAGGGAATTAAAATTAAACTACAAAATTGTCTCTCTCTCTCTTTCTTTCTCTCTCCCTCCCTCCGTTCCTCTCTCTCTCTCTCTCTCGCGCGCACGCGCGATCGGCGCATATCGCGCTCGCGAGTCAGTTTTAGACGGTAAATTAGATGACAGTCGGTCCGTTCTGCGAACGTAGATATCCAATCGGCGTTAAGTAGAGTATTTATAAAGGACCGTCTACATTGGAAGTAAATAGTGATAAGTAAATGGCGTCTATACATTGGAAATGAGCAGTATTAAATAAGAGATAGAGCATTGATTGCGGTAAAAGGCTGGAGGGAATACGAAATGGGAATGACCCATTTCGCTCACTCCCCCGGTGTTATGCTTTATTCCATTGAAAAAACTCTCTTACTTCTTACTTCGTAGTGTTACTACCTCTAACACCTGTAGATGGTCCTTAAGTAACGCACCGTGATCGGCTTTCCGAGCAACTCGGCTGTTGTCGCGCAACAGCTCGAGCTTATCGTCGATAAAACAATCGCGAATCGCCTCGATTGTAACGAGATTACGTTAGGCGATTCCGCCAACGCGCTTTGTCGTTTTCAATAAGAGTGCCCAATATTTATCAATCGCTATTTTTTTCCCCTCCCTTTTCTTCACGGGCAATTCAGAGGCGCGCGAATTGCCAATCGAGATATCAGCGGAAGTTCCATTGGAAGAGGAAAGGGAAGAGGAAAGGGCAAAAATTATCTCTTGTTCCGCATTGCGGTGAATTCTGAGGAATTTTATATCGGAATCGCAATCTGTTGCTTCCGATGATTTTATTCGGGCCAAAGATTCGCGAATCACTCACTTTGCAATGCATTTCATGGAGTGCTTCAGACTTAGTCTTCGAAATTTCGAGTGGAAATATTCACTCGACAATTTGAAGCAAAGGACCCACGTTATGTGAGTGAGTGAAAAGTCATTCGAGAATTCAATTTTAATTCACTCTACTTTTCGAGTAGAATTTTGCTTGAGAAAATTTAAAGAATAGATTTCGCTCGTCGCTGCTGATAATGATGGGGTATCTTCAATTTAACATGTTAACATTTTTCAATATTATCTAATCACATTTTCTAACTCGTCCGATAGTTATTTGTCAATTTTTCAATGCATGCCCGAATTCTTGTCCCGTTCGTCCGTCAGTTTCCTTGATAACCACGACGACTTAAAAAGGAACGATAATTTAATGATCTCTCGTTTTCGCAAGGCGGTATCTCACGCGCAGACGATTATAGTTATTTCATAAATACCTTTGCAGAACGGTTATTAACGCTCGATCGCCGCAGCACGAATAGAAGTCGATCGGTATCCTACCGAAAGAACGAGAGAGAGAGAGAGAGAGAGAAATCTAGATGCCGATCGTTATCTAACAAAACTTTTCGAGCCCTTCGGTCATGTGAGCCCCTTTAACCCGCAGAAATTAAGTGAACACTTTCATTAGCCGCGACTTGAAAGGCCAATTAGATCGTAGTGGGGTATGGGGAGAGTTACATAACGCAGGATTTACTTATACTATTAGATATTTGAAAGATTTGAAAGTCATAAAAAAAATTTCGCCCAAGGACGCTCCAGTTTGATTCTTTTTCGTCGCAACGACGACTTCAAATTCGATTGCGCTGGACACCGATGTAAACATAACGTGCGATCATATTTTTTCTTGAACAATACTAAACGGATACTTAGAAGTAAGATAAAAAAAATATCAAATTAAACGAATATACGTTTCTCTTTAAATAACGCCATTTAGAACCATTCGAAAGGCTTTGCCTGCGGTTTTAAAAGCGATTCTGTAAACGGAGAACAGTGACTGCTTTCAACAATGTTTTTTAACCGCTTCCAACGTTACATTGACTCAGGAGTATATTTTGGATGAAAAAAAATCAAAGCAATTGACGCCTTGTATTTTTTTCGGTATCAATCGCACCAGAAACTGGACACAGACAGTGTATAATTATTCATCTTATTATGTATCGATAGAGGCGGATAGGCTCATTACGCGCACCGTCTTCAATCGGCACCAGTCGTTGACCTGTTAATAGCGCCGATCGATCATTTCTCTCCTGAGTATGTGTGTTACACGTCATTACCATGTCGAGTAAATGAATTTGCTCTTCTGTTTAGCAGGCGGGGCGCGTGCACTGGAATGGAGACGCCGGAGGATCATCGCGTGTCATCGTCGTGAGTGTCGTTTTCGCGTTCTCTCATATGTGTACCGAGTGTGAGTGAATCGAATAGAGAATCGAGATAAACAAAAAAAAAAAACAAAAAAACAGATAAGTGGAACAACAAAACGGCCGTGGGCGGACTAAGAGAAAGATAAAGACCGAGAGAGAGAGAGGAAGAGGGGCGGGAGAGATAAAGAGAGAGCGAGAGGGAGAGTGTATCAACGCGTGTGTGAAATGGATGGTACGCCAAGGAAAAGCGAAGCAGTGCTAATATATGGATGCCCATGGGTGGAATTTGGCCGAAATGTGCCAGCGTTACCATCACGCTGTACCGGCGGCGCAGCAGAACTCCTCGCCAGTTAGGGACCCCTCCGCTGCCATCGTGCAGGGCCTGTCAACTGCTGCGCACATCGATCAGGCCAGTCCGTCTTATTCCCATTACACGTGAGTTCACTTCTTCTTCTTCTTCTTTTTGTCTCTTCCCCGTACTTATTTCACAAAAGTCGAGACGGTCGCGATAAATTTGTCGAAGCGCGACAATTTCACAGAGCTCCGTTAAAACGCGACGAGGGAAAAAGTTCGCTCATTTCGACACTCGTAATAATTCGTCAACATCGGCGAAGGGAAGGAGGGGGAGAAAGACTTGTGAGCAGGTGAGCCCACATTTGGACGTTTCAGCACGTGGCCAGGCTCCGTCCGGGATGGTAGAGTGGGGAAGGGGTTACGGTCTTATCGCACCGTCCGGTCCCTGCGTCCCCAATTGTATCATATATATTAATAACGATACAGCGAATTTGAGATAAGTATACGATCGCACCGGTCAGGCCCCCTGGTAATCCTGTTATTAGCGCGGCGATTAGGGGAAGATGATCCTCGGGCAAATTGCAGGGGCGTATACCGCGCGTGTTTGGTTAACATAATCGCCAATCGCCGATCCCCGCGCGCAAGTCCCCCGGACCGAGGGAGAGAAAGGCGATCCGCGATGCGTCGCGTTGCGTCGCGTTTCTCTCAACCCTCGAGCGCACGCGCGTCGTTTCACTCTTTTCCGTATTTTTCTCATCCAACTCCCCTCCTCCGTCCGTTCCTCGTGCTAGCTCCTCTGCACACATGTCCTCAAGACGTTAATGTTGGAAATCCATTAAATTGCGGTTTACGTTCGAGATTCAATGTTTCACTATCATTATGCTCGTACTACGAAGGCGAAGAGGATAAAAGTGGCCCCCTCTCTCTCTCTCTCTCTCTTTCTCTCCGCTTACCGACCCTTTGGGACTGTGAAGGAGGAGATTAGGAAAATAGCATGCGCACTGCCGCGCGGTATGTGCGTTTCTAACGTATCGTGTAATTTCAGCTATTTCTTATCTTGTTTACCCGCTGTCTTATTTGCTCGTTACCTTCTTACGGCAATCCACAGGGTGCGCCGCCAGCCGAGAATTTCATTTTTTACTTTCTAGAACCAAGTAGCATTTCTTTTAGTCAGTAAATAAAATATATTAATTTAAATCGAATAATTAGTTAGGAGTATTGAAGTGAATTATTTTTTGAATCAAATTTGAAATTTTTCGGTTTTAATAAATAAAATAAGATCAACTTTGGCATCCTCTTTATTTCTAATTGAATTTCGAGCAATTTGAAAGAAAAAAGGGTGGAAACACTCTCCGCGATATCTTTAGGATAATAGTGGCTGGATTTCAGGGTGATGAATTTTTAACGTCATGGCGCAGTCGCGACGGAGCGACTCCTTACCGAGCGCGAGCTCGCTTTAAAAAGCGCGGCACGCAATTCTGTAATAACGCTGATACGTGCCCACATGTTGATCGATTCTCATATTTACGAGGCTGAAATCAAAATGTCCAATCGAATCGCGAGAATGGTCCGATCGACGGACTATTCATCCCGGCCGTTTTCTCGATTGCCTTCCGCTCTGCTCGCAGTGCTCTTTTTCGGGAACGTCGAACGTGTTCGATTCTTCTCATGTGCATTCCTTTTATCCAAATTGCACAATTTCGACATTTAATTCAGTCGCAATATCAGTCGCGGGGGTTCCAAGTTTCAGAGGATTCACGCCGATGGCGGATCGTGCGATATATAACTTTCGTTTTCTTACGCGATAAGAATTAATATCTCGGAGTGATCGTAAATATGCGCGCGCATATATGTGTAGGTTAACGTTAGCTTACTCGAGTGGGAGCAGAGGAGCCCCCTATTCTGTATAACTTTTAACGACAGTCGTCGTTACGGTGCCGTTGTGCAAGTATAATATGTATGGCGCAAAAGTTGCTTCAACAACGAAGTAACAACAACGACACTATCGTTAACAGTTACAGAATACACAGGCATAGGTTCAATTTGCAAACATCGATTATATCTACGAAACGTCGATAATTCCATGAACGGACACGCTACACTCCGCTGGCACAGCTCGGTTTTTCCACGACACTTGCGCCGCGCTCGCCGGGATTGAAACGTCGTTGATTAACGTCGCGAACAACTTCGAAGACGAGCGATTGCTAAAGTTCTTTCTTTCCTACAAAAAGTTCCTTCAGATCGAACTTTACGAAAAGGAATATGAAATCAACGTGCTTAGCTAAACTTTCATATTTGTTACTTATTCTATAATTAATTTTACATATATATATATATATATGTGACAATTCTACTGTAGTTTTATTGTACTGTATTCTTAAGTCTTGTCCATTTTCTCTCTATTTTGCCTTACTCTCCTTCAATGTTGTGATTTTGATTTTATTATAATCGTTTTTTCCACGATGCTTAAGCTTTCCTCAGGAACGAGCGTCGTCGTCGCGGACGAGATTCTTTGCGAACGGTTTCTTTTCGCAACGCACGCACGACATAGCAGAATTCCCTCGAATTTTGAATCGGAGATTTTCTCGGCGCTTTTTACCGCGTCGGAATGCAAAATCGAAGATAAGTGTTTACGGTACGATGACTTCGCGTCTGACCCCTGCACGTGGTGTGTACTCATCATGTTTGTCGGTGACCTTGTAATTTCTGCGATTTGTGGTGAGTCAGTTCGCTGACTTGACGATTAAACAGCGACTGCCGCTTAATTACGGGTTAACGTGGCGGTTATAGTTATTTCGGCGAATGAAATAACGCACGGTGCTCAAGAGAGCGCATTCGTTCGCGCGTTATCAATTAATCACGATTTACTGTGCCTGGTGATACAATAAATTAATAATCTTTCATCGCGCAAAACGACAAGGAAATTAGCGTTTTCGTTAACACGCGAGAGCCGAAATCTCGCGAATCTATTTTGTACGAGCGTGGCAACGGCGTGACCCTGCTTTAAATACTATCACCATTGTTTCGCAATTTGTAATGAATACAAAGAGATAGATTATGCAATGATTAAATTATATTTGCACAATAGATATAACGAGAAACTGCGGTGACAACTTATAATTGACTTCGATTCATTCGAATGTCGACGTTGATGCCGAATAGGTCGTTTCTTATTTTGCTCGGACATGTCGCAAGTATGAGACGTATCAATAAAGTAGCGAAATTTAATATTTGAGAAATAATATATTCAATTGTTCTTTGAAAATAATACAGTCTCCTTCAAGGTTGCATCGCTCGGACATAAACTCGCACCTGTGTCAGCGAGTTTTTTTACTCTTCGTAGCAGACTCGGAAGTCAGTTTTTGTGACATTGTTTTCGTAGTGTCAATCGTAGCTTTTTGAATGTCGCCTACAGTTTCAAAACGCGATCGCCTCTGACTCCCAGTTTCAACTTCGGAAACGAGAAAAAAGACGACAGATAAGGTGAATGAGAAGACTGTACTTTTGGCGAAAAATTCCTATGAATAATCAACGCTGAGTGTGCAGGCTGCATTGTGATGTAGATTCCCGAGAACAAGCAAACTTTCCGACATATTTTCCCTCTGATTTTTACGACATGTTCAATGTTAATGTCCAATCTTGTAAAGACTGGGCGCTCCGGAGCGAGACTCATTTTCCATCGATTCTCAACCTTACACGCGTGCGTGCATGCGCACGTACGTACAGGCGTGCGTGTGTGCGTCGATCGATTTTAGAACGATCATAAATCTCTAGTGCCCCGAACATAATAGCGATAGCGACTTATCGATGAACCGATGAATCGAAACTCATTTGCAGATACGTAAATTTGCTCCGTTGAAAATAATAGCAACGCGGATTAACAAATTAAAGATCGTTTAAATGTCTCGATGACAAATACTTAAGGATATTACTTTCGTCAAGTGGACGAAGGCTTCGTTAAAAATACATTTCAGTATACGGAGGACCATCGCAATGATACTTTTTCGAGACACGATTTATGCGATGCGAGAACAGTATTTGTCACGTTAATTATTATATATATATATATATATATATATATGTGTATGTTTGAATATGTATATATTATATATATTTTTCCTTGTCAACTTGTTAATTTAACTGAAGAGGGTTTGCAATAGACCTAAACATTTATTAATTTTTCATGTTGGAAAATTTGAAAGAAATTTTTGCGCTCATACATTTAACAGCGAATCGCTCTCATATGCCAGATATCAAGTTTATTCATAAACAAGAAATTAAGAAAAGGCGATGATTTTTCTAAAAACAGTCAGGCCAATTAGAATTCCCCATGTACAGCCCTGAGAATCGAGTTTCTCTCACTCAGTTCGAATTGTCTTGGCCGATCTTTGATTACAGTGTTCATTTTCTCGTAAATATCTTATTAGATGAAAAACAAGGAGCAAATAAGTAATACTTATCCGCCTTTTTCAAATAAACTTCAGTAAACTAGTAGACTTTTTTTTCTTATTAAATATATCGTGTAACTTCAACATTACGCGCCTTACTTGTTTTTCATTTAATTGTACATTTCGAGAGAGCATTTCTATACACTACATTAAACATATCTTTCCCTTCGTATCTATGAAATTTTTAAGTCGAGGATATCCATGGAAATTGTTATCTCTATATTTCGGCCCCGTCGCGACGTAGATCCGTCCGGGAAATCTCCGTCGTAATCGGAAGCGGCGATATCTCGCGATATCTCGCGGATCAACCGGGCATCCTAGGGAGCTCTTCATCCTAGAGGAGGTGTGTGAAATATTTTCGTCGCTCGACGGATATCTCCGCTGGCGTGCGGACACCTCTTCCCGAGGTTGTGTAGAAATCTTCGACTTTTCCTTACTCGGTCGCAGGAAGTCGTACGTAATGGCTCCGCAACGTTGCCGCGAGGTCAGAGAGAAGGTATATACCGTACACAGGAACGGACGGACGGACCAGCTCGCGACGGATGCGCGGCGTCCGTTCCGCAGTCTTAAACCCGTAAAGGTTTCGGGGATGCGCTTTCTTCGTTCTCAAATCTGAAACGCGCCGGAGCGTTAGTAGTGCAAAGGTGAGCGGTTGGGGTCGTGACTTCCGCTTACTAACCGCATTGAACATTC